ACAGAATCTCACTTAACTACCTTGGTGGAATGGGGGATAAAAGAGGTTTGTAAGAAAGTAAAGTGGCGGGTAGCTTGGTTGGTTGGCGGGTCCTCCCGAGACACCAAGGTTGTGGGTTTGATCCCTGGTCGGGGCACATACAACCAATGAGTGAACAACAAAACTCAGTTTCTCCCTCCCTCCCCCTCTCTCTCTCAAATGAATTTTTAAAATCATTGAGAAAAAAGTACAATAAAATCATTCTCACATAAGTCAAAAGATGATGTGTGCAATTGATGATTCTGGATTATATGTATGAGCATTTTTTAATGTGGCGATAAATACTAGAAGTAATAACTTAAAAAACTGAAAGCAATTACTTCTGGGGAGGAGGTGGATAGGACTGAATAACCAGTTCTGGACAGGCAGGAAGGGGCATGGGTGTCGGGGGGGCCAGAGAGAGACTGCTATTTGTAAGTATAAGGCTTCTAACATGATTTGTTTAAATGCATTTTATTTATTTATTTATTTAAAGATTTTATTTACTTATTTTTAGAGAAAGGGGAGGGGAGGGGGAGAGGGAAACATCAGTGTGTGGTTGCCTCTCATGGGTCCCCTACTGAGGACCTGGCCTGCAGCCCGGGTATGTGCCCTGACTGGGAATCAAACCTGCGACCCTTTGGTTTGCAGGCTGGCACTCAATCCACTGAGCCACACCAGCCAGGGCTTTATTTACTTATTTACTTATTTATTTTATTTATTTGTTAATATTTTATTTATTTATTTTTAGACAGAGGGGAAGGGAGGGAGAAAGAGAGGGAGAGAAACATCAATGTGTGGTTGCATCTCGTGCGCCCCCTGCTGGGGACCTGGCCTGCAACCCAGGCCTGTGCTGTGACTGGGTATAGAACCGATGACCCCTTGATTCACAGGCCGGCACTCAATCCACTGAGCTACACTGGCCAGGGCTTTATTTTTCTAAAACCCTGTAAAGTTATAATTCTAAAATTCAAGTTTAAATTTTATTTTATTTTATTGCTGTATACTGTTTCTCAGGTCCTCTCTCTTTCTCTCACTTGAACTCAGTATTTGTTTTGCTGGAGAAAAACCTCTAGTAATTCTTTCAAAGATGGACTGTGGAGGAAAAGGCCATTTTACCTTGTATCCTCCCAGGTTTATTGAGGTGTAATTTACATACAGTAACATTCATCCTTTTCAGGTGTCTATTTCTATGAATTTGAAGAAGCTGACACAGTCAGGTAACCACCACGACAAATGGTTCCCTTGTCCCTCTCCTGCAGCTAGTCCCCTCCCCGCCCCGCGCCCCCCCCCCCACCCAGCTCCTGGCAGACACTGATCTGGTGTCTGTCCCTATCATTTTGCCTTTTCCAAATGTCATATAAATGGCACCAAGCAATATGTGGCTTCTTTTACTTAGCATGATGCTCTTGAGGGTCATTCATGGCGTTCCATTTCTGGGGACCTTTGCAATCCAAAGGGACAGTTGTCACCAGTCATCAGTGCCGCTCACCACATATTTGTGGCTGGCTGTTTTCCGGTCTTGTGATCAGAGTGTACTTCCTGGCTCCCTTGTGGTTGAAAGTGGCCTTGTGATTAGTTCTGGCCAATAATGGGTGAGTACATGTGCCTTCTGGGCCGAACCATTTCATTAACAAGGCAGGGTCCTGTTGCGCTCTCTCTGTGCCCTGCGACGGCCACGGGCGACATTTGCAGAGGTGGCTGCTCTGTTGGCCTGAGTCTCGGAGTGACTACAACCAGCAGATTCCACTGCCAACCTGTCATGGACAGGTTAAGCTATCTATTGCCAATAGACAGGTAGCTGGGACCAGAAGCACACCTTTGTGCGCTTAAGCCATTGAGATTTGGGTGTGGTTTGTTATCACAGCACTGTCTATACTGAGGCATATCAAAGGCTTGTGTTTTTAGCATTGGGAAGTTTTCTTTTATTGCTGCTTTCATTATTTCCTCTCTCTGTTTTCTCCTGTCTCTCTCTCACTTTCCTCTTCCTTTCTGGAACTGTTTGGCAAATGTTGGACCTTTTGAATATGTCCTCCATGTCACTTATCTTCCCTTGTCCTGTTGGCAGTTTTCTGGGACAAACACTCAGATTAATCTTTTCACTTACTACTAGTGTTTTCCGGCCGCATTCATTCTGCTATTCAACTCCACTTTTCCTTTTTGTTCATAATGGTGTATTTATGCTTCTTTTCCAAGACCCCCACTTGCTTCTTTTCCATAATGGGTTTTGCTTACTGCATGCAGAACCTTCTGCATTCTTTGTAAGGTTATTTGTGACTTTAAAATTCTTCTGTTTGTTCTGTTAACTTTCCCTCCTGTCCTCGTTAGCTCCCAGGTAGCTTTCTTCCAGAGCCCTGGCTTACTTTGCCTGTTTGCAGACGTTTGCTGGTCTGTAATACTTTGTGCTTGGGAATCCCTGCTTGCTTCACAGCCGATTCCATTACGATGAGGCGATTACAATACTTCTGACTTGGGGCAAGGAGCTGGCTCTCTGGGTACTTGTGGCTTGCGGGGTGTGGGAGCTCTTTATCCTTCCCGGAGTTCTCAGCTCCCCGGGGCTCTGGGGGCCTGCCGGCGCTGCCCACCACTCAGCAGGAAGCGAGGTGGGGGCCTCGGCCTGGATGCCCTGCAAGCATTTTCCACTTTCCTGAAAACCACCCCGAGACCCCTTGGAGCCCCTTATTGTGAGCTTGGAGCCCCCTCTAGACCTCACTCTTGGGGATCCTCTGCTTCCTGCCTTTTTAACTGTGGTTTTCCTCGTCTCGTTGCTTCTCGAATGCCCGCTCTGGGGATGGACGAAGAGCGAGGGTCGCACACAGCATGAGCACACACCGAACAGGCCCGTGGAGCGCCAGTGGTAACATCAGCCTTAAGTGGTCATCTCCTTCCGGGAAACTGATGTTTATATTGTTCAATTAAAAAAAGTATACATCCTCCTTCGTGGATGCCTTTTGTGTTAAGAAACCAAACAGAAATAGAATCCACTCCAAAAAAAAAAGTGTAAGAGTAACAATTGTTTCTTTTGGAAGTTAGAAAATACAGAGGAAAAAATTAAAACCACCTCATCCAGAGATAACGAGATAACTGGCATTAGTTAACCTGGTACACTTTGTGATGTGTACCCATTAATATATGAATTTATTTATTTTTGGAATTGATATCAAGTTACTGATCAGTTTCTAAAAGTTGTTTTTCCACCCGACAATACATCATGGAGTTCCTTCCATGTCAGTAAATATACATTCACATCATTTAATGTGTAGTGTTCCACTATATTTCAGGCCAGAATATATCCAATAACTTCCCTCTTGTTAGGCATGACATTGTTTCTGTTTACGCTTGACAGATGGTACTACAATCATCATCCTTGTACATGTATCCTTAGAATAAAATTCTAGAAGTGGAATTGCTGTGTCAAATGTAGCTGGGCATTCAAGAATTATTAAGAAGAAAATTATTCAACTGAAGGAAGGCAATGGAGAGGCTGGACGGTCAGATATTCTCAGCCGGAGGTGGAGGCGGTGGCTTGGGCCAGGGGGAGGGGCATTTCAAACTCACACTGGAAGCTGGCGGCCCCTGGCGACCTCCTCCTCCTAGAGCCATCTGGGAAAGGACCGACTGCTGCCCATTGGGGGAGCCCTCCTCCCTTCCATCCCCCAACACCCGCCCCTTAGGGAGGAGGGTGGGGCAGGGTGATCAGCCTCCACCCAAATCTGGAAGTGAAACTGTCTCCAAAGTGGAGCTCAGGGTGCTTCTGGGGGAGGGCTCCCGAGGCCCTGCTGGGACTGGCCTGGGTGCTCTGAGCCTGGGGGCCTCACTGGACCCCTTGATGCCCTGCCACCCCGACCCTCCCCACTCTGCCCCCATCCCAGGCTGGTTTTGAGTTCTTGAAACCTTGACGGCTTCCTAGAAGTGTTCATTATTAGGTTGAACCATCGGAAATTGCCGCTTCTGTAGGTCAGAAGTGGTTGAGTAATTGGCATTGTTTAAGAACCTCTGGCTGGTTCGCCCTGCGCTACACTTACTTAGCACTCATGCTGTGCTGGGTGCTTTGCTAAACACTTTGTGGTCATTTTTAAACAGTCACAGCTCTCTGGGACAGAGGAATTGTTTCCCACTTGATAGAAAAAAAAAAACATGGCTCAGAATTTCCCCTTTTGGAATGGTTCAGCGTCTGGCTTGCCCTCCAAAGGTTAAGATCTTCACAAGGCGCAGAGACGCCTCTGCCACTGCTGTGATACCCCAGGAAAATGCCTTGACTTAGCAGAGCCACTTGCCGCCTCTGTATTTTTTTTTTAAGATTTCATGTATTTATTTTTAGAGAGAGAGGAAGGGAAGGGAAGGAGAAAGACAGGAAGAAAAACATCAATATGTGACCAGACCCCACCCGCAGCCCAGGCATGTGCCCTGACTGGGAATCGAACTAGTCACCCTTCGATTTGCAGCCCGCGCTCAACCCACTGAGCTACACCAGCCAGGGCTCAGTGGGATGTTCTCGTTAGAGACATTCCTGTGGTATTCAGCGACTCCGTCTTATCAGCAGCACAACGGGAACAACCACAGTGCCCAGCAGCTTCACGTTGAGCTGTTACAACAGTTCCGGGCCCTACAGGGGAAAGCGGAGCCTCGGTGGGGGACGGAGCCCGAGCCCCACCCCCACCCACCACGTGGAGGGCCCGCCCCGCCCGCGGCGAGGCCTCCGGGCGATTCTCCGGAGCGCCGGGCTGGGAGGCGCGGCCCGCTCGGCCAACGCCTTCCTTAGGCCACGTCACTGGCGAGCGGCACTACCTGGCCACCTCTTCCCACGGCACCAGGGTAGCCCGGAGGGGGTCGGGGCGACGAGGGGCGGGGCTTGGGGCGTGGCCCAGCTCCCTTTTTTTTTTTTCTTTTTGTCCGCCTTGAGACGAAAAGACTCCCCTGCGCCTTTAAGAGGCCGACGCGGGCAGCCGATTGGCCGAGACGCGCCCGTGACGTCACGCCGGCCCGCGCCCTCCCCTTCACGCCCCGCGGCGCACTCGCGGGCAGTCCCCGCGCGGGCCGGGCCGGCGTCCCCTCTGCCTCGCTCGCCCGCGTCGCCCCGGACCCCGGGGGATGCCCCCGTCCGGGCGCTCCCATGGCCGCCGACGTCTTCATGTGCTCCCCGCGTCGGCCTAGCAGCCAGAGCCGCCCGGTGCTGCTCAAACCCCCGGTGCCTGAGGACGACGACGACTCCGACACTGATGAGCCGTCCCCGCCGCCCGCCTCCGGCGCCGCCAACCCGGCCCGGGCCCACGCGAGCGCCGCTCCGCCGCCGCCCTGGGCCGGGCCGGGCCGCGAGGAGCCTCCGCGCCGCCAGCAGATCATCCACAGCGGCCACTTCATGGTGTCGTCGCCGCACCGCGAGCACCCGCCCAAGAAGGGCTACGATTTCGACACGGTCAACAAGCAGACGTGCCAGACCTACAGCTTCGGAAAGACCAGCTCCTGCCACCTGTCCATCGACGCCTCGCTCACCAAGCTCTTCGAGTGCATGACCCTGGCTTATAGGTAGAGGACCCGGAGACCCCCCCCCACGCACCCCTGCCGGCCCCACCTGCGGAGCCGCTCTCCCTTTGACAAAACAAGGGTGGGGGGGCTGAGCCCCCCGGGGGGGCCCCTTGACTTCACACACTCCCTTCGGGTCTTGCCCCTTCGGCAGGGTTAATGGGGTCTGGCCTCTTCCCCTCTCAGCAGTGCGTGGGTTCTTCCGGCTTACAGTTCCCCATCCAGGCGCTCCCCTCCTGTGTCCCCAGGCCACTGATTTTGCACTAGAAGGAGGTGTAAGGACAGGCTGCACCTGGTGTCACTCCACTCGAGCCAGCCCTTCCCCAAGACGCTTTGTGTGTTTCCAGCAGTCAGGGGGTTAAGACTGCCTGTCCAGGGGTGGTTAAGTGCAGGTTCCAGTCTTGAACGGTTGCGCAAAGTCTCGGAGATTGTTTCCTCCTTTATAAAGAGGGGATGACAGCCCTGACCCGTGTGGCGCCGAGGGTTGGACGGCGTCCCGCAGAGCAAAAGGTCCTGGTTCCGTCCCAGGTCAGGCATGTGCCTGGGTTGTGGTTCCATCCCTGTAGGGGTCGTAGGAGAAGTAGCCGATGGATGTTTCTCTCTCTCTCTCTCTGTCTTTCTCCCACCCTTCCCCTCTCTCTAAAATAAGAGGGGGGCTGACAGTAGTCTCCACTGCACTGGCTGTTATGGAGATGGAGCGAGACAGGTACAGTGCTTACCCCAGTGTCCGGCTCACGGTTACACACTCGGAAATGTCAGCTACTGTTCTTGTCGTCCCAGCAGAGGGACATCCCCCTTATTGGGAAGCCCTCCCCCAGCTTGGGAGGGGGCCTGGGCGTCTCGGAGCAAGACTGCCGGAGCCCTGCTGTGGGAGGCGCAGCCTGTCCTCCTGGCACGCTGGAGGGCTCTCTGATGGGCTGGGAAACATTATATGGAGGTGTCAGTGTTGAGGGCAGGCTTCCCAGACACCATCCTGACGTGTGGGCTTGGCTCTGGGCGCAGGTCTCTTTCCTTTGCCCCTGAAACGCCTGGCCCTCCCGTGGTGGCACTCTCTGCTCCCCCAGTGCAGGTGTTAGGCGTCTGCCGCAGGTAACTTCTGCCTCGGCGGCAGCCCTTCCTTGCACGGCTGCAGTGCAGGGGAGCCCTGCCCGCACAGGGCGCGGGGGGGGGGGGGGTCCTCTGCTGAGTGGGGTTATCGATTTATAACTGGACTGGCTGGGGCCGTCTCAGGTCTGCTCTGCAGGCAGTGCAGGATGCTTCCTGGGAGATTCCAGAAAAGTGTAACGACGAAAGTGGGAACACCCCCCCCACACACACACACCTTTTTGTGTGTGTGGGGGGAGAGCCGTGAGCCTGGAGTACATCCAAGTTAAAACATTACACATTTACCTGAAGTTAAAACACTAGATACTGGGCCCCGGGTGACATTTTCCTCCTCTGGAATAAATGATTAATCAGTCTGTTCCTTTGTTGTGTTCCTGAAGTGCCCCCACCCTCCCGTTTCCTCCCCGAGCGTTCCCTGATGGCTTGTTTGCCACTGGCTGCCTCCCCACCCCCTTCCCGGGCCGCAGGTCCTGCTCGGCTCGGCTTCTCTGGTCTTGCCAGTTGGAGCTGGCACCCAGCCCTGAAGACGTTCTGGATTTTTCAGACCAGTGGTGTTGGGACTGCAGCCCTGCTTGCTCCCGCTCAGGTCGCGAGCGCCCCCGCCGGGGTCAGGCCCGAGTGGACTGTAGCGAACGCCGTCTCTGCTGCCGGGGGAGGTGGCCCCTTCTCACCAAACTGGGGGCGAGCGGCAGGAACGTGTCTTACTGGAAGCACTTAATTCTCTTACTTGCTCTAATGTAAACTTCGTGTATAGGGAGGGGATGGATGCCGAGTAGCAGGAGGTATGGGCTAGAAAACTCTCAGCTAAGCTCTGCCAAAGGGGAAAAAATCAACCAGTCTCCCCTTTGCCCTCAGTTGGGATAACCTACAGGCTTATTTTTAAATAACACCAAGGAATTTTAGTAATGGCACCCCCCTACCCCGCCACTTCTTTCAGAAATATTTGGCAGCGGGCCATTGCTTAATTAACTTTCTTGATTGCAAAATGCACCCCTAGTTTGGTTGGAGGCTTACCTTGCTTTTAACACCTTCCACCTTGCAGTGGGAGGTGTTTGCCCCAGCTTTCCCACAGCAGTCCTGCCGCCACAGGTCTCTGGTGGCTGCCTGCCTCAGTGTCCCGGTGTGGGGCCGGCTCGGATGGCCCCCGAGCCGAGTTGGCAGTGTGGAGCCTGGGTGCAGAGGAGTGACTCACAGCCAGCTGCCTGGGCTGTAGCCTCTGGCACACAGAAAGCAGCAGGGGAGCAGAGGGGAGTTTGTGGCCTCAGCCACCCCAATGTGGTCACTAGCTGGCTTTCAGGAGAAGGCGGGTCCAGGTGGGGGTGGCCAGGGAAGACAACCTGACCCCAGAGGCGGTCAGACTGCCCACTGCCCCCCCCCCACCCCCCCGAGGCCAGAGCCTCCACAGCCGAGTCCTGGGTTTTCCCCGCCTCCCTGGCCTGGAGGGAGGCCAGCTGGGCCTCCCCTTCGGTTGGGCCGTCTCTGGCCTGGGCGCTTTCTGACCAACTTCCTCTGTGTCCCCTGGCCTCCTCGCTCTAGCTGCCTCACTCTCTCCGGTACACACTGTGCTTTTTTTTTTTTTTTTTTTTAATTTGGTTTCCTGTAAACTGCTGCCTTCCAGCTGTTTCCAGATGAGGTTCAACAGCTCTTTGGGGGAGGAACTAAGTGCTGCGGTTATTTCCCCCAGTCCTGTGAAGTGAGCCAGGGGTTATGCTCTGTCCCTGAACGTGCAAAGCCTTGGAGTCCTCCAGGGTCTTTGGCGCGGCCGACCTTGGGTGGGGACTCTGCGAGTGCCCAGTGGCCCACGTGGGTAAATGACATTGCTGACGGGACCCCGGCTTCCCGTAGCTTCCCTGAAACCCGTGTGTCCCCCACTCTGATGGCAGACAGCCCTGGAGTGAAACACCTTGACTATGTCCGACGTCGTAGTGCTCAGCGATTGGGACGTTTTGCAGGGAAAGCTGCTTCTCCCCGAGGGGATGGAAGCTGCCTGTCTCCGCCCTCCTGTGGGCCGCCGTAGATGGGAGGGTGCGCTGGCCGTCAGGGTGAGCCTCGGGACGTACAGGGACTGGCTCCGAATGTGTCGGGTACCGGGCACGTTGGGGGCCGGAGGAGGCTCAACGGCTGGAATCCGACGCCGCATCCTCCTTCAGCGGACATTGGGTAGGAACCCAAGTCTCCCCCTGGGGACCCGAAGGAAACAGTGGATCCGACCGGGGTCTTCAAGTGGGGCCTTCCAGTATCTGCTCGGCGTGTGGTGCTTAGGGTGGGCCGCCCGCGCTCTCTGCGGCTCCACAGAGGAGCCGTGTGCTCTGCGACGTAACTCAGGGTTCTGGCCCTCTTGGCATCGTGAGGAGTGCCACGCACACAAATCACGCACACGGACTTGGAGCGCCTCTGGTGCATGGCTTTTCGTGGTCGATTTTGCCTTCGCTTCTCTCCCTTTCCACGCAGCTCCTCCTTGGGGAGCCTCGGGGTGGACGCCTGGCGAGGGGGGCGGTCCCTGTGTGTGTCCCGAGAGGAGCGGTAGCTTTCTGCACGGGGCTGCTGCCGAGTGGAGGTCTGAGGAGACCTTTCAGTGTGGGCCTTGGGATACAAGCATCTAGACCGTGACCTCGAGCGAGCGTGGCCTGTGTGGTCACCATCTGTTCCTGACCCGAGGCGGGGTCCCTGCCGGACGCAGGGCGTGGCGGGGATTACGGGTCAGCGCGCCGTGCCCGTCACACCACAAGCTCTGCAGGGAGCGACTTTCCGACGCGGGGCCTGGTGGCCGGTGCGCACTGGTCACACCGATGACTGAGTCTGTCCTCAGCGACCGTGAAGACCGGCGGCTCCGCCCCTCCTGGGCCGTCTGCAGTCTGGAGTCGTCGCGCAGCGTGCCGGCTCAGGGTTGGGCCCGCGTGAGGGCTGCGGGGACGGGGACGGAGGCTCGGTCCCCAGGGGGCTCACAGACCTCGCGGACGGTCCGCGAGGGCTGTGGTGCACACGGTGAACCAGGTCTGCGGCAGCGCCCAGGGCGGGCGGGCACAGCAGGTGTCGGTGTGGACAGTGCCCCCGACAGCGGGACTGCACCTGCAGCTCCCCTCCCCGTGTCGCCCGCCGAAAGTCACGAAGCAGGGTCCCCTGCAGGAAGCCCCTCGTCACCCACCCTCTCCCCTTCAGCGGTCCGGGACCAAATTTCCACTCACGTAGAGGCTGGCTGGCTAGTGGGCGTCCCGAGGACGGGGCGAGGAAGGGCGTGAGCTTGGGCAGAGCCGGGGAAGGAAGCCAGGGGGGCGGGGGGGGGGGGGCGGGAGCAGAGCAGCGCATGCGGACTAGCCGAGCCCCGCCTCTGCCGTGTCCTGGGTTCTCTTCACGTCCCCGCGCGCACTTCCCCAGCCCCGCTCTCGGGTGGGTGACGGCGGTGTTCCTGTGTTTCACGTTTGTAGAAAAGGAGAGAGGACCCGAGCTCACAGGTGAGCGTGCCCTGTCACCGAGAGGCCGGGCAGCCTGCCCAAGGCAGCCACGGGAGCAGAAGCGTCGTCTCCCTGACCTGCTCGCCCAAGTTGCAGCTTTGTTAGAAGGGGCATGGAGGTGCCCGTTCCGCCCCTCGCCGCAGGCACGGGTCCGAGACGGGGAACGAGGGCCTTGGGGCGGCTCCGTGCCCTTCACGGCTGCCGGCCCCACTGGTGACCCCTGCCCCCCTCTTCCTTCGAGGCTCAGCCTGACTGCCAGTCGCCCCGGTAAACCCGAAGGGAGTGAACACGAGGGTCCCCGGTGAACCCACGACCTCGCTGACCCTGCCTCGTGTCATCGGGTTGACCGGGTCGACCTGGCCGACCGGGGTTGTGGCAGCCGCCCCGGAGCCTGGGGTGCCCGGCTCGGGGTGGGTGATCCAGAACTGCCGTGTTTTTTGGAATGTA